CCACCGCCTGCAGGCCACGGTTGTCCGATGGGGCTTGGATTTGCGGTTTCGGGGTAGATCATGTTAGGCGTTTTGGCAGTTTCTGGTTCGTCTTCCTGAAGCGCGATCTGGTCCGCTTGGTGGTCGGCTGTAGGGTTGTCGGCGCTTTGCCGGAGGAAGGGCTTGTGCAGTTCTAGTTTGTTTATGTTTTGTTTTTGTTTTTTTTTTTTTTGGTTCTTGAGTCTGTGTTAGTTATGGGTTTTTGGTATAAGTTATTTGCCTGAGTGTTTTATGTCTCGTTTCTTTGGTCTGGGCCGTTGGCCTCTATGTGAGTGGGAGAAATTTATTGTCCTGTGCGGACCAACTCCTATCTCTATTCTCCAATGGGGAGCTTTTAGTCGTAGTTTTCGTGTTTGTGGTTTGTTGTCTTGGGTGTCTGGTTTTAGATTCTAGCATTGACTAGCGTCGGAGTCTAGGCGGTAGTTAGACATGTCCTCCCTTTTATTCAGCGTAAGATTGTTTATTCAACCGTGAGTTGTACCTTTGCACTTTTGTGCGCTTGTTATATATCCTCTGTCGTTTCGAAAAAAAAAAACTACTAGCAACTTTGCTCAAACATTCCAATATAAAGTTTGAAAAGTGTACCAAAAAAATAAAATAAAAATAAAAACAAAAATAAAAAAGAAAAAAGACATTAAACAAGCAAATTAATCAATTTGTGCACCTACAATCATTACAATAATAAAATATTACATTGAAAAACATTTCTAGATGATTGACACTAATATTCTTTATTGTAGGATAATATCTTTTTACCTTAGACTATACTTTATCTTAATCAGCTTTATGTCACATGATTATATATAATATAATTTGAGACATTTCAATTAAATATATTTATAAAATTAAAAATAATATAAATACATTTTATTTTAAAAAAATAATATAAATACATCACCACATGTTAGTTCCTATATATAAGACCAAGTGCTAATTTTATATAATTTCAGACATTTCAATTAAATATATTTCAATTGACTAAAATTTTTTTAATGAAAAAATATCGATACATGCACATTATATCAAAATATCCGTTCATATTATTTTTCGGGAATTACAGTAATGTTATTATGTTAAATTCATATGAAAAATTAAAATAACAATGAAACTCAAGCCTAAAAACTAATATATTGGCTTGCGTATTACAAAAAAAAAAAAGTACAAAGTATATTGATTAAGTTTTCAACAAACTTTAATTTTTGTGCCAAAAATAGTCATTAAATAACCTAAATAAATTTGTTCATTAACTAATTTATTTCCCTTAAAACAACCTCAATACCAAAAATAAATTCGTCTACTTTATACCATATACTAATTAATTCACATCTATATATATATATATATATATAAAAAGAATTACCATTTTTTAAAAATAGTAAGTAGAAAATCTAACAACATTAATTGCATGCCATTTTTTGGAAGTATTTTGAATTTTTTTAAATAACAAATTGGCAAGTATTAAATGTAGCCTAAAATTAGGGATTTGGAAAACAAAAAAAAAACGTAATTATAGCTTCACAAATTTCACACATGTTTCCAAAATTATAGCATTG